GCCGAGACGCCTTAGTACCAGAGCCTGCGAGATGGGCGTGCAGCTCAGCAAAGGAGAGGACCAGGCCGCACTAATACTCGCAATATACATCGGCCTGGGTGTGCGAGAAGAACCAAGAGTAGCCAGGCCGCACACCAGGAGAAAGAAGCTGTGGCGTCTAAGTGTAAAAACGTGCGACCTGGTCCTGCGAGTTAGATGCAAGATGGGCGTGCGGCTCGGCCACGGGAGTTCCAGCCCGCACAAGGAGAGAAAGGAGTCCTGTCAACGAGGAAAGGACAGGTCAAAGCCTTGACTGGTCAAAATGGATCTATTGACCACCCGTCCAAAGGCTGAACCTAGTCCCACACTCTCTCTTCCTCACCAAAACCACGAGTTTGCTCTCTTACCTCATTTCTCTCCACTGTTTTCATCATAACTCTCTCATTTCTCCACAAAATTCGTTGATTCAAAGTGCTCTGAGCTCGTTTTTGAGTTGTTAACATCATCCTGATAGCATTTTGAACTCGTTTGCATCATAATCCCAAGGTATTCACCCTGTTGGAATTCATCTTTTTCCATGTTCTTAAGTGGTGATTTTTGAACTTCAAAGAGTAGAATCGATTTTGATAGGTTGTTTTAGACCTTTGGATTATTTTTATAAATGCTAGGGTGCTAGATAGTCATGGAAAACAGAGCACTTTCTTGGTGATTCATTGTTCTTGAGTTTTGAAAATTGTTGCAAGTTAATTCATGAAAAATTGATTTTTCTTGGAAAAGAAATGAACTTGTTTCCTGCTGAGTCCCTGCTTTGCACTCTTGTTTTTGCATTGCTATGAACTCATTGGACTGATGCTTAGCTTGAGAAACTTGTTCATGTGCTTTGGAAATCGATTCTTGCAACAATATTTTTCAAAATTTTGGAGAATGAAACTTGATCTTGTGCTCATCTTGTTTTTGAGAAATTTATTGGCAGATGACTGAAAGAATCAACTCTCTAGCCAAGAAGAAGGGCACTGCATCCAAGGACAAGGGTTTGGTCTCAGGGTCTTCACAGCCAAAAGGAAAAGGCCAAGGCACCAAGAAAATCACAAAGCAAGGGAAAGGTGAACAAGCGCCGAAAAGGACAAGGCATGAAGAAAAAGCATTGGTGGTTGCTTCTGGTTCCAAGAAGAAAGGGAAACAATTGGCTGTGGTATCTGATGATGAACAGACTGAGAGTGGCTCAAGCAGCTCAGCTGGAGGTTCCCAAGGCACCATTGAAGATGCATCAAAGAGGATCAAGAAAACTGAACCAGAAACACCTGATTATCTGGCCAAGTTTCAACAGATGGGGATCCAGCAAGGGAGGTTCCCTGATGTGGACTTTCTGAAGAAGATTGGCATCTATGAAGATGTCAAAACTTTGCTTGGGAACATGAGCATTGAATCACTTTTGGAGATGAGAGAGACCGCATATGAAGAGGAGTCTCAAGAGTTATTAGCTTCTTTTGATGCTTTTATGTACTACCCAAGAGATTCAAGGATTCTTCAAGGGGATGGTCTTGGATACATGGAGTTTACTGTGAAAGGAAAGGACTACACAGTGTCATTCAGGGAATTGAATGAGATATTTGGGTTTTCTGCGCCTAAAAACGTTCCTCTCTCCAACCAGATTGGTCTTAGAAAGGAAGATATTCAGGCTCTATGGAGATCAATAGATTCTGGGAAGTACACAGCTGGAGCAGCTAAGTCCTCTTGGATAAGGAATCCAGTGCTGAGATATGTCCACAAGATCCTCTCTCACAGCTTCTTCTTCAAACTTGATGTTGGGAGAGTTCATAAGAGTGATCTGAATCTCCTTGGTGTGGGGCTGAAACAGTTGATGCCAACTCATGAAGATGGGAAGCCCTATGAAGGATATGCTTACAAACCTTGCCTTGCCTCTCAATTAGCAAGGTCTTTGATGTTCTACAAAAAGAGCATTTGGGGTTCAACAAAGAAGGATGCAAAGCTGGCCCATGGATGGGTTGTAACAAAGATCTTGAATGCAAAGGGGTATAGGTTCAAGGAGAACAAGGCAAGGTTTGACCTGATTAATGAAGCCTATTTGTGTAAGATCGGTTTCCTTCCAGGAAGAGTTGGAGCCAAGCTGGTTTACAACTTCAAGTCTTTCATTGATGAGCCAGTCCAAACTCTCCTGCCCAATCCCTCCATCACCACAGTCCAAGTAAAGAGGAAAATTCACTTCTACTTGCTGAAGGAAGAGCAGTAAAATGTCCAAACTGATCCCCCAATCCAGATGCTTGGTGACACAAAAGCGTAGCGTCATGAACTACAATCTGATCCAGATGCTTGGTGACACGAAAGTGTTCATCAGGTATCAGATCTAGTTTGGGAGAGCAAAACAAACATAGAAGTGGAAACCTACCTATGGGCGATTTGTGAATTAGGACGAGTCTTAACCATAATGCATCTCTTCTCTTCCAGGGCCAGAGTGGAAACCTACTGGTCAGGGTTGAGAGAGATAGTTGTCTATGATCACGACAGTGGCGTATTCATACGTCCGTGACTCCAGTACGAAAAATTTAAGCTAAGATCTTACAAAATTTCCTCTCTAGCAATGTTTTGAATCGTTCGTACCCCTGAGAAAACTTCCCTGAACCCCAACGCTTTCTTTTCCATTGATTTACACGGATTTTCTTTAAAGCTTTAGTTCAATATTGTCTTTCCTTTTTAGTTCATTTTCATTTTAGCAATTAGATATCCGTTTTTCGCATTTTTAGTTATTTTCGTTAAGTTTAGTTATTACGCCATTAAATTCCCGTATTCTCTTTTAATATTTCGTTTTTACATTTTAAACACACTACCAAACCCCACAAAACCGTTTTTGTTCTAGACTTCCTTACTTTAACTTATTTCAAAGGCTTTTTGCAGGAAAAGATCCTCCTTCCCTGTGGATTCGATCCCTAAGTACTACAATTGATCAGCTGTGCACTTGCGGCTATTGATTTCAATTAGGGTAAAACTTGACAACCCTCGACACCACACATCAAGTCACCACCATCACCATTACCGGTCATCGCATGTGTATTGATTACAGGAAGCTTAATTCAGCATCTAGAAAGGATCATTTCCCATTGCCATTTATAGATCAGATGCTTGAGAGATTAGCTAACCATCCCTACCTCTATTTTCTTGATGGGTACTCGGGTTTCTTCCAAAATAGATCCCCGAGACCAAGAGAAAACGACATTCACTTGCCCCTACAGCACATATGCATATAGACGCATGCCTTTCGGTTTATGTAATGCTCTTGCTACCTTCCAAAGGTGCATGATGCACATATTTTCTGACCTTATTGAAGAGAAGGTGGAGGTCTTTATGGATGATTTCTATGTCTATGGTTCCTCCTTCTTGGATTGTCTTGCTAATTTGTCAAAGGTCTTGAAAAGGTGTGAGGAGCATAGGCTGGTCTTAAACTGGGAGAAGTGCCACTTCATGGTACATGAGGGCATTGTGCCCGGTTATAAAGTCTCTGAGGCTGGTAAAGAGGTCGACAAGGCCAAAGTGGAGGTTATGGTGAACTTGGAGCCTCCCCACTCGGTCAAGGGAATCAGGAGTTTCTTAAGGCATGCCAACTTCTATAGAAGGTTTATCAAAGACTTTTCTAAGATAGCTTGGCCACTAACAAGGCTGCTTTGCAAGAAGGTTGCGTTTGTATTTGATGAGGAGTGCATGGAGGCCTTCTTAAAGATCAAACAAGCCTTTGTTAGTGCACCAATAGTCCAGGCACCAGATTGGACATTGCCCTTTGAAGTGATGCCAAATGCTTCAGATTTCGCTGTGGGAGCAGTTTTGGGCCAAAAGAAAGACAAGAAACTGCATGTTATTTACTATGCAAGCAGGACCTTGGACTCTACTCAAGAGAAATATGTAACAAGGTAAAAGGAGATGCTGGCTATTGTGTTCGCATTTGACAAGTTCAGAAGTTATATTGTGGGTTCAAAGGTTGTTGTGTACACAGATCATGCAGCTTTGAGGTATCTAATGACTAAAAAGGATGCCAAGCCAAGGCTCTTAAGGTGGGTTCTGCTCTTACAAGAATTCAACATGGAGGTGCAAGATAAGAAAGGCATTGAGAATGGAGCTGCCAATCATCTCTCACGGTTAAGGGTGGACTCACATATGCCCCTAGATGATTCTTTACCTGAGGAGCATCTAATGGTGATCAGGTCCTACTTGGAGGTTGAACAAGCTAAGACAATCAGTGAGAGGAGTCTTCCATGGTTTCCTGATCTTGTTAATTACCTCTCATAAAGTTTAGAGCCACGTGAAATGGATTCTTATCAAAGGAAAAAGTTCTTTAAAGATGTGAGGAGATACCATTGGGATGAGCCAGATCTTTATGTGCTCAACAAGGATCATCTTTATAGAAGGTGTTTGGCTCAAGAAGAGGTTCAACCTGTGTTGCAAGAGTGTCACGGTTCTGCTTATGTAGGACACTTAGGAGCTTTCAATACAGTGGCCAAGGTGCTACAATGCGGTTTTTGTTGGCTTACAATGTTCAGAGATGCTCAGGGTGTTGTGTCAAGCTGTGATCAATGTCAAAGACAGGGCAACATCTCCAAGAGAAGTGAAATGCCCCAAAATCCCATCTTGGAAGTGGAACTCTTTGACTGTTGGGGTATTGACTTCATGGGTCCTTTTGTGAGCTTATATGGGAACCAGTACATCCTTGTATCGGTTAATTATGTCTCTAAGTGGGTGGAGGAAATTGCTTGCCCAACCAATGATTCAAAAGTTCTTTAAGAGTGTTATGTTCCCCAGGTTTGGTGTCCCTAGAGTGGTGATCAGTGATGGAGGTAGCCACTTCATTTACAAAACCTTGGAAGGGCTGTTGAGGAAACATGGAGTCAAGCACAAGGTAGCAAGTCCTTATCACCCTTAGACCAGTGGTCAAGTGGAGATTTCTAATAGGCAAATCAAGGCCATTTTGGAGAGAACAGTGAGCAACTCACGAAAGGATTGGAGCAAGAAGTTAGATGATGCTCTTTGGGCCTAGGACTGCTTTCAAGACACCTATTGGCACATCTCCCTTCAACCTTCTCTATGGAAAGAGCTGCCACTTACCAGTAGATCTTGAGTACAAAGCTCTCTGGGCTGTTAAAATGTTGAATTTTGACATTAAAACAGCTCAAGAGAAGAGGGTGATTCAGTTACATGAGCTAGAGGAGATAAGACTTAATGTTTTTGAGAGTGAAAGGATTTACAAAGAAAAGACCAAGATCTTGCATGATCAGAAGATCCTTAAGAGAGAGTTCAAGGTGGGAGACCTTGTTCTCTTATTTAACTCTAAGCTCAAGCTCTTTCCTGGTAAGTTAAGGTCAAGATGGTCAGGACCATTCAGAGTTTTAGAGGTTAGAAGCTCTGGAGCATTGGTCTTGGAAGGAAAGGATGGCAAGGGTTTTGTTGTGAATGGACAAAGAGTCAAGCATTACCTGGTTTCAGAGAAGAGAGAGGAAGCTTCTACAGTTCCTCTTGATGATCCACCAACCTGTTAAACAGGTTTTCAAAGTCAAACTTAGTGACATCAAACAAAGTGCTCTTGGGCGACACCCCAAGCTTATCCTTGTACATAGTTCTTTTAATCTTTTCTCTTCTTTCTTTTTTATGTTTTAGGATGTTTTGATGGGTTTTGTGAAGGGTTCTCAGGTCCCAGGTGATAACACCGTATTTTGACCACTTTTTCTATGTTTTTAATTGCTTTCAAGTACTTTTATTACGTTTTTCTAGTATTTGTAGTTCCAAGACTCTTTTCAGGTAACTTAGGTTTTAAAAGCTTAACAAAATGGATAGAAAACCAGATTTCAGCTCAAAGTCAAACCGTCAGAAGTTCACCCCTGATTGAAGCCTTCTCACCGTCTGATCCAGCTCAAATTTGGAGACCTTAAAGATGCAAGTATCAGCTTTCCAGTGCAATTTACAGCTTGGCAATCCAACGGTTCAATCAAAAGATACGCGAAGAGCAAGATGTCCCGTAAACCAGCCGGCAAGCACTTCCACCCGCGGCCAACAAGCGATTTCCCGCGGTCAGGAGCATCCCGACCGCGGCAAACCACTCATTCCCCGCGGTCAGAGCACTCCTGACCGCAGCCATCAACCTCTGAGCCCAAAAAGCCCATTTCTGAAGCCCACATTTGGAGAAACCCTAAGTGACGTTCAGAGAGGTCTTGAGCACTATAAATACATGTCTTAGGAACCCTAAATCGTGCAACCTATCACCACCGAAATATTTACTTCATATTCTTATTGTTTTTGCTTTAGCTTTTAGGGAGAGAGAGATTTGTTCTCTTGAACCCTTGTTCTTTCTTTTTCAATTTCGGTTTCTATTTTACTTCTTAATATTATGTCTTTGATTTCGTTCATTATGTCTGAGTAGTTTTATTGTTGGGATTAAGGGATTTTCGATGGGGATTTATATGTTCGATGAGGATTCCATGAGCTTTTGAGCCGAATCTTAGAACTTTTTCTTCTGAATTCGTTTTTACTGCATGAGAGTAGCGTCATGAACTACAATCTGATCTAGATGCTTGGTGACAAGAAAGTGTTCATCAGGTATCAGATCTAGTTTGGGAGAGCAAAACAAACTTGGGAGTGAAGGAGACCAACTCCTGCTTCAAGACCTTTGCTATATGAGTATGCGAGTTAGAGAGCAAAAGAACCTGAACCACACGTATGTTCGCGGTAAAGACCGAGAAGGGATTGCGGCTTAATCTACAATGTTTTAACTCGCAAGATCTTGCTCCCAGACTTGTGCGAGTCGGGTGTGCGACTTGGAGCTGAACAAGACCAACTCACACACATATCTTCTCTAGAATTTGTCTTGGTTGCGCGAGTTGAAGAGGAGAAGACCTGAACAGCACACATGTTCGTTGAATCGTCCGAGACAGGCATGCGGCTGAGGCTGAAGGAGTTTAGGCACACAAAGCTAGTTTCATGGGTGTGTGACTCAGGCCTGCGAGATGGGAAACACTTGACCAAGTCGCACACTTAGCACATTACCCATTTGAAGCCGTGTCAGTACCCAGTTTTTCCTGGGTTGACCTGGTCCGAGCTACTTACTATATTTATGTTTTAGGCTTTTTTCCAAGACTTAACGTTTATTCTCCCTAATTTCTTTGCCTCTTTTGTGAAAGACTCCTTTGAAGAAAAACATCTGTTTTTGAGAGTTTGAATCAAGAGAAATCAAAGACCTTTTGTGTGTTTAAATCTGCAATCTATCTTATATATCTTCTCCATCATCATTTCCATCCATTAATCATGCCAATCTACTATACTTGCAAAGGTTTAAGAGAGATTAGTATGATTAGTGAGTAGTCTCCTTAATGAGGTTCTAGATATGTAGGTTAGGGTGCTAAAGTGCTAGATTAGGAGTGCTTAGAGCTAGATTCATGCTTTCATTTCTCTAAATAGCTGGTGTCTATGCTAGATCCTTGCACATCACTTGGGATCTATAATCTGGGTTTTTCATGCACCAAAAGTGTTTGATGAAATTCCTGAAAGAGCTATATTAGAGGTTTATACTTTAATGCCATGATATACCCTTTATGCTGCAACAGCTAAGGGATTGATAACCCCTCATTTAGAGCTTAAAAACCTCTAGTTATCAGTCTGCAACTTGACCAAGATAAATGGAGACTCGATCTACTAACCTTTCTTAGGGTTTTGCAGAAAAGAAAATGTGTGCCTTCCATGGAAACGGCGCCAAAAACTTGATGTCGCGTGAGGGTGTGTGTCAAGTTTTACCCTAAATGAAATCAATAGCCGCAAGTGCACAGCTGATCGACTGTAGTACTTAGGGATCAAATCCACAGGGAAGGAGGATCTGTCCTGCAAAAGCCTTCAAAAGAAATATAAAGTAAGGAAGTGTAGAACCAGGCAATTTTTGTAGGGGTTTTGGTGGTGTGATAGACAAGACTTTTTAGGTCTTAGGGCTATCAATCCCCTTGTCAAAGTAGCACAAAAGAGGTTGTCAATCCAAGAATGTGGTGATAGACAGTAAGCTATGTGATCAGTTTCTCAATTCAAGTAAACATGTGAGGTTTTGATAGATTAATGACAACTAAAAACTTAGAACAAGATTAATGACTAAAGAAGTGATCAAACAAGAACTAGGCAAATGACAAGTGATGTGAATATGAAATGATGGGGGCATGAGATTCTAGACATGATAGTTGGCTAGGGTGCTTTGGTGCTAAACAAGGAATGCTAATGACAATGATGAGACATGATTCAAATGAGTAAGAACTCTAATCTGGATTAATCCTCTCATGAAGGTATTAACCCCTACACTAATCCATTTTCAAACCAAATCATCATTTGTGAAATATGAATCAGTGAGCATTAATAAACAGTTCTAAAAGATCATTCAAGCAAACAACAATACATCATCATGCAGCAAATGCTTAAACCTCTAATACAGCTCTTTCAGGAATTTCATCAAACACTTTTGGTGCATGAAATTCCCAGAATCTAGATCTCAAGTGATGTGCAAGGATCCTAGAGAACAGATGTTTAGAGAGATGAATCAATGAATCTAGCCCTAAGCACTCCTAATCTAACACTTTAGCACCCTAACCTACACATCTAGAACCTAATTAAGGTTACTACTCACTAATCATAATAATCTCTCTTAAACCTTTGCAAGTTGAGAAGATTGGCATGATTAATGATGAGAAATGGAGATGGAGAAGATGGATAATGATGGATTTGCAGCTTTAAACACAGAGATCTCTCAAGCTCTCTTGATTAAACCCTTAAAAATCGATGTTACTCTTCTTAAAAGGAGTCTTTTCACCAAACAGGCAAGAAAACAAAAGGTATAAAGCTTAGGTCTCTAAAAACAAACCGGGTCAGCCCAGAACAAACCGGGTCAGCCCAGAACAAACCGGGTCCTGACCCAGCTTTAGTGGATAAAGTGACGAGTGTGCGAGTTGGTCAGGAGTCTCCTAAGTTGATAACTAAGATTTTTCAGGTCTTAGATGGGTTATCAATCCCCTTGTCAAAGTATTATAAGGGGTGTCAATCCATATGTGTGGTAATTAGGCACTAGTTTATGTAATAAGCTCTTAAGTCAAGTGATCAAAGATAAGTTTTGGTGTGAACAAAGTAACAAGAAAGCATAAAACAAGAAACAAGCAAGCTATGATTAATGAACTAAACAAATCAAGCAAGCTAAATAAGATGGTGGTGATTAAGCAAATGATAAAAGATAAACCTCTAGATGTGATCATTGATTAGGGTGCTTTCAATGCAACTAATGATGCTAAACAACAATGCAACACTTGCTACTCTTTAGTCTAGGCTTCTTAATCAGATTAATTCATTCCCATGACAATAATCCCTTTGCAAATCACTTAATCAAGTCTAACAACCATTAGATATAATCAAGCAATCAGCAAGCATAATGCATCAAGCCTAATAAGTGACCAAACAATCTCTCAACCAAGAAGACTGAATCTTATACAGAAAGACATAGCAAGCAATCACATGATCTCTAATCCAATCAACTTAGAGTTTAAAGCTAGATTAATCCTCTCATGAAGGTATTAATCTCTATACTAATCCATTTTCAAACCAAATTCCCATTTGTGAAATATGAACTAGTAAGCATTAAGAATCAACTCTAATATGTCATTTATGCAATTAACAAACATTCCCATGGCATTAATGCATAAACCCTTAGTTAGCTTTCATTCAGGCATTTCATCAAACACTTTTGGTGCATGAAAAACCCAGATTCTAGACCCAAGTGATGTGCAAGGATCTAGCATTAGGGTCAGCTAACTAAGGAAAAGAGAAGAGAATATAAGCTTAAACAATCATTAATCTACATCTAAGCACCCTAATCTACACACCTAGAAGTTTAAAAGATGACTACTCAGTAATCATGAAGAACACATCTAATCTTTTGCAAGAGATGATGTTAATCATGATTAGAAGCATAAATGAGATGATGAGATGATAAGAAACAGCTTTGGAATGATCAAATCCCTTCAGATATCTCTTAATCAAAAACGTTTTTACACTAAAAAGGAAAGAAAACTAGAGAGAAAACTAAGTAGAAGATAAGATTTTTAGGGTTCTCTCCAAAAAGCTATATATACTAAGTGCTAATGGACCGGGTCAGCCCATGACAAACTGGGTACTGACCCGGCTCAGTTGGGTCTGGTGGCTGGTGTGCGACATGGTCAGGTGCTTCCCAAGTCGCAGGCCCAAGTCGTACAGCTATAGAAGCAGCCTTGTGCGCCATAAATCCCTCAGCCTCAGCCGCATGCTTATCTAGGTGTAAACAGCGAATGTTTGTGCTGCTCAGGCTTCCTTCTCTTGAAATCGCACAACCAGGACGCATTATGGAGATAATACGTGTGCGAGATGGTCAATTCCTTGCCCAAGTCTCATGCCCAAGTCGGTGTAATTTGCGAACACATGTGCTAGATGGTTCCACTTCATGTCCAACTCGCAGGTCTATCTCGCACAGCATTGTGGACTTACTCAAATT